ATACAAAGAATTCATGCACAATGTTAGTATGGACATTCAGAAATCATACCACAAGAACAGTTGAAGAATGAGGAAGGAAAGGTGTGGTATATACCTCATCATGGGGTCTACCATGAAAACACTGCGTGTTGTGTATGATTGTGCTTCAACATTTTCTGGAACATCACTGAACAAAGAGCTATTACAAGGCCCAGATCTGACTAGCACTTTATTAGGTGTGCTGATTCGCTTTCGGCAGGGTCCAATAGTGCTTATGACAGACAGTAAAGGGATGTTTCATCAGGTCAGAGTAGCTGAGGAACACGTAAACTTTTTACGTTTTCTCTGGTGGCCCGATGTGACATCACAAAACAGCTGGTGGAACATAGAATGCTAGTCCACATTTTTGGTGCAGTATCCTCCCCCAGCTGTGCCACCTATGCACTACTAAAGACTGCTGATGACAACCAACATCTGTACCCAGAGGAGGTTATACATACAATCAGGCATAGTTTTTATGTAGATGACTGTCTTAAATCTACTCAGTCTGTTGAGCAGGCCATCTCACTTTATCAGCAGCTTACTGAAGTGTGTGCCAAGGGGGGATTTAAGCTCAATAAGTGGGTATGTAGTGATCGCTCTGTCCTCTGTCAGATCCCGGAGGAAAATAGAGCCACAGGTGTAAAGATGCTGGACCTTAGTCAGGATCAGCTACCCACAGAAAGAGTGTGCAATGGGATATTGAACGTGATGTTTTCACATTCAGTATTGTGAACAAGAACAAACCACTTACAAGACGTGGTATTCTGTCCAATGTCAGCTCCATTTACGACCCTTTGGGTTTCTTAGCTCCAGTCATTCTGCCTGCAAAACAAATTCTGCAACATCTATGTAAACTGAGGTTTGGCTGGGATGAGACAATACCAGCAGAAATGGCACAAACTTGGCAAAAATGGGTTGAGGATTTAGTTCTTCTTAACAAGTTTAGTATTAGTAGATGTGTCACACCCAAAGGATTTGGGGAGATAGAAAGTGCACAGCTGCATCACTTTTGTGATGCCAGTGAAAGTGGGTATGGTGCTGTATCATATCTTAGGCTATCTAATAGCAAGCAGGAAGTGTGTGTTTCCTTTATTATTGGTAAAGCAAGGGTGGCGCCGTTAAAACAAGTCACCATCCCACGTCTTGAGCTGGCTGCTGCAGTTTTAGCTGTGCGCTTGGACAAAATGCTATCAGTTGAACTCAATCTTAATCTGAGTGAGTCAGTCTTTTGGTCTGACAGCACAACTGTGCTACAGTACATTGCAAACACAACCACACAGTTCAAAACATATGTAGCTAATAGAGTTTCCACCATTCATGCTTTGACAAAAGTTGAGCAGTGGAGGTACATCAGTTCAAAGCTGAATCCAGCTGATGCAGCCTCTCGAGGAATGACAGTTGGCTGTTTCCTGAAATCTTCCACCTGGATCAATGGTCCAGAATTTCTCAGTAAACCTGTTGTTCACTGGCCTGTAGGCATGAATTGTGTATCTGTCCATTTGGAAGCTGACCCAGAAGTAAAAGTGTTGTGTGCAGCTGTGCTGAAAGAAGATGTGTGTCCCACTACTAAGCTGCTGTTGTACTTCTCCAGCTGGACAAAATTAAAAAGGTGTGTGGCATGGATCCTGAAAGTAAAAGAAAGACTTAAACTGCAAACAAGGAAAAGACAGAAGTTGCTGGGCACGCACTGTGGAAGTCAAATATGTGTTAAGCAAGATGATAAATGGAACACTCTGCTCAAAACTGAGGATTTGTCCAAGGCTGAGGAAGCTATAGTGAGCTTTGTGCAAAGAAAACATTTTGCTGATGAAATGACTGCCCTAAACTCTGGCACTGTAAGGAAGTCAAGTCATCTGTATAAGCTTGATCCTGTAGTTGCTAATGGTGTCTTGAGAGTGGGTGGAAGACTGAGTAAAGCGGATTTACCTGAGGAAACAAAACATCCTGCAATTTTGCCAAAAGAAAGTCATGTTTCAAAGCTTATTCTTCAGCATATTCACAAAAAGATTGGTCACAGAGGAAGAAATCACATGCTTTCAACCCTTCGCCGTCAATACTGGATCCCTCATGCTAATTCAGCAGCTAGAAAAATAATCAGAGATTGCATAGTGTGTCAAAGACAACGGCAAAAGCCAGGAACGACAGAAATGGAACAAGATTTGTAGGAACTTTTGCATTGGTGATGTTGTGCTTGTTGTTGATGGAGCTGCACCAAGAAATTCTTGGCCCATTGGCCGCATCACTGAAACCATGGCCGATGCACACGGAGTAGTTCGCCGTGTTAGAGTTAAGACACGAACAAATGAGCTGGAGAGGCCAATCAACAAAATATGTCTCCTGGTGGAGGCCATCTAGAGGAAACAATGAATGTTTACCTCCAACTGAGCCAAGTTCTGGAACCTCTGGCTCTACATTTACACTGACACTCACTTTGCTCTACACTCCATTAAGCAACATACACCTTTTTTGAATACACACAAAGCAAACACATGAACAACAGAGACTTAAAATCATAGAACATTGACCTTTCCTTTTGTTTGGTTTTTAAGAAGACTTATACGGATGGACTACTGAAGAAAATTATTGGTATTGCATTTTGTGATGGCCACTTAGACAGATATAATTCATGTTACACAGGAATTAGGGGCCGGAATGTTGTGGCCATTTTTGTTGAATGTTTATAAAATGCAATTTGTATTCATTTTTGTTTTTTCTTTGAAGGTGTAAGAATATTCTGACCTGGTTTTGTTATGTAAATTTGTAATTAATTTTATTGGAGAAGCTTTTGGAAAGTGATTGGTTTATTAGCTTATGGACCCTCCCATTAATCAAGAGATTAAGAGCACCCTGGATGGGTGTGGTAAAGAGGTTTTTTGTTTTCTGTTTGCCAAATGTCAGATGGGAAGATGGGAGGGTTAGAAAATGATTTTTTGACCACTTTTGAAGTTGTTAAAGCAAATTAAGTTAACTTTCGTTTAATTTTAAGTTTTAAGAAGTTATTTGGCTGATTTTTGTTTATAATTTTCCACGAAATAAACCACATATGATTTTTAAACAATGGAGTCAGAAGTGCGTTCTAAAACAAACCTCCCGTTGCCACCCACGGCCTTTTCTTGGACCTTTTTGGTGTTTGGAACGTAAAAGGCCGCGACAATTACAGTTCAGCACGTTTACAGGTGAAGTTTAGTCTTTTAGCCTCAGCATGATGCTGTTGCCGCTACAGCTGCTGCCAGGTGACACTTGCTGAGGGGGGTTTGGTCAAATTTCACCCAGGGTGACACAGCTAACGTTAGCAAGCGCTACCCCTGCTAGCTACTTATTCTGTGCGGCTGAGACATAATATTAGCGATGCACAGTCAACTACCAGGAATTCACAGTTATTAACAAGGAAGCTATCACACCTGATGATGTGATCCACTCACAGGGAACTGGTACTGCATCATTGTACTGTCTCAGCAGCTGTACGTAGCACACAGCCATACAAACTCAGTCAAACACAGTGAAAAGGATCACAGGTCAAAAGGAGCCGCTCACTGTGGGATCATGGCTCATGGGATGAGTAGTTCTTTCTAATTAAAACTAATTATGCACACAATCCACTGATGCAGCAGTGCTTTTTTCATTTATGTCCAGATCAAATGTTTATGGTCATGATGCACCTCCTCTTGCTGCTTGGCCTGGCTCACTCTTCCACACTGAGTCTATGAGGATTTCCTGAAACGGAGAAAATAACTTCAGGAACTGAAGCCCTTAAAAAAGCGGACGTCCACTGTGATGCGGTATAGAGAGGGAGATGTCAGCTGCAGCACTGACGAGCAGTGAGTGTGTCTGCCGATGAGTGTGGCGCACAATCACCATCACGGTGCCAATGACAACACCTGACACGTTTCACTGCTTTTCTCTTGAACTGAATATTTGGGTGTTTTTCGTGACGGTAGTCATGTTCACGGAGGGAGGAACAGCGCACACATACACCCACTGAGATGACTCATGAAGCTGAATAAACGCCACTGGACAGAGGGAGGAAATGCACAAGAGAAAACATACTGTTCTCAAAGGAGCACGTCAGTGTTCCACAAACACAAAGTTGTGTCTTTTGACAAGACCTTGTTTCTCCGGCATCTTTCTATATTTAACTAAATCAAACCAGCAAACACAGAACAAAACAAGTGCCACAGCAAAACACAGAAGAAGCCACTCCTCTCAAACCAGCAAATTTCAAATCAAAGGTCCTCTTTGTTTAAACCATGTAAGGAAAAGGTCCCTGCACAAACTGGGCTACTGCTCTGCTGGGTCAGGGAGTGCAGAGTTTGAACCCTCCTCTGGCATCAGCACCTGAACGTGTTCATGGGTTTCTAATGTACAGGTGGCTACAGGTACAGTCCCATGGCTCAGTGATGGTTCATGTTTGACTTTTCTTCAAAGGTAAAATGGGACGATCTCCGGCAGGATGCGTCATCCAAACTTTGAAACGTGCTGATGAAGTTGAGAACAATTCGTCACGACACTGCAGGACAGGACGACACACAGCGAGGAGGAGCTGAAACACTCAGAGTCTCTCTGCACAGATAAATGCTGCTCTGCTGATGTGTTGGGCCGACTCTGCAGCAGCCCGTGCAATCTAAACATGGCAGCGCTGTTCTTTTACTGTCAGAGGCACACAGACTTCAGACATCAGAGCTGAAACCAGTTCCCAGTGAGACCAGTGTGCTCACATGAGACTGTGATAGAAATAAATCCCAGTCAACCCAGTCCACGCCACTTTGGACCAGTCACTTAGGCTCATTCTGTCACAGTGTGAGGGGAGGGCCATGTCAGCTGTTCACCAGCCAGCTCTTTATGCATGAACAGAAATCTGACTGTTGCAGGTCATTGCTTTAAATTCGGGTGTGACAAAGAGAGCTGCGGATGTTTCCACAGACAGACAAAGACTCGTTTTTCAAGATGTTTCGAGGATCAAACGTTCAGGCTCTACCTACCTCTGACCAGGATGGTGGTGGTTTTTTTGGCGGGATTCCCAACGTTGTTGGACCCCACACAGCTGTAGACACCACCGTCGTCAATAGCAACAGCAGGAACGGTCAGCGTGCCCCCTTTGACCACGCTCCGTCTGGGGAGCTGCTGCCCATCGGGTCTCATCCATTTTAAACTGGGATGAGGGTCTCCGCCCGATGCCACACAGACCAAAGTGATCGTCTCGCCGGCGTTCACCACCAGGGGGTCGTCCAGGAGGAGCTTGACAGATGGAGGAGCTGCAGGAGGAGATGGAAGGGTTGGAAATGAGGAGGAAGTCAAAGTCAGCAAGAAACCTTCCACAAAGTCAAAACGTTTCAATCGAGTTACAAATGTGAAGCATCCCAAAAACTACATGATTTTCAATCAGGTCACAATTTCCTAACACGTCAACAAAGGAAGCAACTATTTTACTTCAGAATTCAAACAATTATTTTACTCACTTATGTTCTGTGTTTTAACTCTGAACATTCCCCACAGCTTCTGCATTTGATTTTTAGCAAACAAATATGTGTATTCATGTAATTTGACCCAAAGAACAACAGTATCAGGACAACACAGGATAAGAAATGAAAACATGGTTTTAAAGGTGAAGAAGGCTGAAGTCTAAGTATCAGATTAGATCGTTTGCATCACTGTAAATACCAACGATGCTGCTTTCCTGTCGTCCCACACTAAACAACACAGCAACGTTTTCATCACAGCTAAGTGTTAAACTGATGCCATCAATATTAATGCTGCAAGTCTGTTATCACATGGCTAAGACAGTAATGATAGCGCTGCTGTCATCAGTGTGTAACAGCTGTGTGTAAATGTGATGCACACAGTGTTGCTTCCTGACGACCTGTGGCAGCAGGCTGTGGATCCCCTCTCAGCTGTGACTGTCACGACTCTTTCACTGAGTCTGAAAACTGGTCGTGATTGTTGTTTGCATTGTTGCAGTGTCATTCCCACCTCTGGTATAGAAACTTCTGACCTTCCTGAGCATCACACTGAAGCTTTACTGTCCTTCTCTCATATCCATCTTATTCAGCTCTGTCTGTAACACCACCAGACTGAAACGACTGTGACGCCCTCACAACCACCCACAGAGAGGCTCACTCATGTAAGTTACACACTCTCTATAATAACAAGTTGTAACAGGATGTCTCCACAATCAATGATTCAGTTACCCATAATGCACTGGTCTGTGAGACATGGATAACAGCAGCTTTTAACTCTTTTTCTTCTAAAAACGTGTGAAAGGAGATTTGTATAAAATGCAGCTTTTTTCAGGCTGGGCTGGCCACTTCACAGGCACGTGGCTGTCATTTTTACATGTTTTTATACTTTGAAAGCTTTTAAATATCTTCTCATGCTTCAATAATCCATAGTGATGGAGCCCCCAGCTGCTGAAACACAGCAGAAAAGCTTTTATTGTAAAAGAAAGGCAGCATCTGTCAGGGCTCTGTGTGCGGGCAGGCAGAGAGGAGGATCCAAATGCAGGACTCGGAAAACGGAATGCAACTCAAAAACCTCAGCTTTATTGCTGGCCAGAAAACAAAACATGAAGTGAGGACTGAACACCGAAACCAAAAACACACAGGCATAATCTGAGGGTGAACAGACGTTAACGACACGACACTGACATAAAGACACACTGGGTTTAAATACACTGAGGGAGTCATCAAGGAATTAGAGACAGAAGGGGGACACAGCTGGGAGAAATAAGACCTAACGAGACAGGGAGAGCGAAGCCGGAATACTGACATCAGACAGGAACAAGAACCTTCAAAGTAAAACAGGAAACAAAACACACTTTACTAAGACACAGACTAGACAGAGACAGACTAGACGCTGACCAAAGTCTACTAAATAATAATCATAATCACAACAGTATCAGATCATAATATAAAAAAAAAACACCAAGATAACAGAAACACCAAGTACCAGAGAAACATAAAGGAAAATCCATGATGCAAAAGTACCAAAACATAATCAACTCAAAATACTGGGTCCAACGGACCCAGAACCGTGACAGCAACTCCCTCCACCAGCTGCACAGCACAAGCTGCAGAAAAGCAGCTAAATGCAGAAATAATAACGAGGGAGGTAAAAATAGCTGAGTCGACCTCTGTTAAGCTGACATCATGTAAATCCCATCGAGCCATGGGGCGGTGGGATCTACTGTACTGGTCAAGAGCGGCAGCCTGAGCGAGCAGAGGAAAACCTTTCATGAAGAACGTGCATGTGACTGCACGCACACAGATTACAAGTACACAACTAGGTTTAAAAAGAGAAGAAGAGATCTGCGACGGCGCCTCACACAGCTGCATTTCTACCATCACGGCGTGCACGCACAGGCGCAGTCGCACACACTCACAACGAAACATGCAGAAAAGCAACGCCAGGCTGTAAAAATGTGAGTACTCTCATACGTCAAGCAGCAGATCGAGCCGCTACATCCAAGTGGCGCCCTCCAGGACAGAGACTACAGCTGACGGCGTGAGGCTGGCCCCAACGGCTCATTTCCTGGAGACACGTTTGAAGCTCAGTGCACAGCTAAACCAAAAGCTCCATTTTTATTAGTCTAAAAGGTTAATGGTACTGTCTGTGTTTAACTGCTGCAGAGTTCAGTGCACTTTTATTTACACAGCACCAGGTCACAACAACAAGAGCTTCACGTTGTAAGGTTCAACAGACACGACAAAGAAAACAGAGAACACCCAACAATCACATGACCCACTATGAGCAGCACTTTGGTGACAGTGGGAAGGAAAAACTCCCTTTGAACAGGAAGAAACCTCCAGCAGAACCAGGCTCAGGGAGGGGCGGGGCCATCTGCCACGACTCAGTTTGCATATGAAACCGGTGGAGTTGTTCTTACATCTGATGCCATCAGCTTGTCCTCGGTCACAGTTTCCTTCCACATAAAAACTGCATAAAAAGCACTTGCAGCAACAAAAACATAATATTCCAGCAACACACTTTGCCGATCCAATCAGCTGTTTGTAACACTTCCTACATCCATCAGCGCGAACTATCGCATGTCCGCCATGACCTGCCCGAAACCGGAAGTGACGTCATTTTGCGGAAATGTAGTTTTTTACCATCAGGGCCTCATGAGCCTATACTGGTGTTTTTAAAAGTTATGTTTGACTTCATGACTTCCTGTGTCGTTTCTGTGATGCTGAGGACTCATATTGCACTGCTGGAAATAGTTTATTTTGATGCACATGCTGCTTTTTTGCAAATTTGCACTATAATATTTATTTTCGTTTTTCCAGCAGTGTATAAAAATTGGTGTATTTCAAAAATAAAACTATGAAGACACTCAAAATAAATTTCCTGTGGTGGGAAACTATTTTGTGCAACTTTTTTGCATTTACAGTTTTGAGGGATAAGCCTCTTAAATTTCTCTAACTAGAAATATATGTTAAAAAAGCAAAAACGATTTTACATTTTTTGTAGTTTATTGCACTTTTTTGCAATTTATGTAATTACTATGCACCTAATGCAGACATATTATTAAAATCTGGGCTCTAATGGTTGTATTGCTGTATAGCAACTTGAAATGCTCCCAAAAATGGCTCCACAGCATGTAAAAATATACATGCTGTGGAGGACTTGGTTCTATGGTAGGTCTTAAAGGGTTAAAAACAACATGAATGTGCTACTGATAAAAGCACGGCTGATCTCTGTACTGTGGGTGAAGCTCTGTGGGTTTCTGTGTACCTGTCCTGTTGCTCAGAGTGAAGTGGGCACTCTTGTCTTCGATGCCACAGACGTTCCTGACGGAGGAGAAGCAGGTGTAGTCGGCGTAATCCTGCGGCCGCAGATTCTTCAGCTTCAGAATCTTTGTCTCTCCCTGAAACACAGACGCACATCACTGGACCTGTTTCAGCTCTTACAGGTGTGTGCCACGCGTCTAACACCTGCGGTCAGCGATCAGCTCCGAACACCGTGGGGTTTCCTCTCTGATTCTCTTTTCACTACCATCTTATGTTTGCTCTGATTCGTCTAATACTCAAACTAAACCTTTCAATAACAAATGAACAGTGAAATACACGCATGTCCTCCACAAACAGCACTGAGGTGATTAACGGGACATCTTACAGTTAAAGCTCATCCAGGGAACAACAGCTGCTGTTGTGTTTCTCTCACAGATGTGCACGCAGCAGTACAAATAATTGGAGATGTCTCTGTGCTCGTGACGTGTAACTATAATTACAGTAAACTGACAGACAGCAAATTCATCCTTCTTCCTCCTGCTTCTCGCGCTCCTCCTCCTCCCGTCTCCACCTCACTGCCAAATCTCTCTTATCTCCACTGGCAGCCTCCACGCTGCCTTCCGCCTCACGGACAGATGAGATGAGATTAGATGACATTTAAATGGGATGTTTGTGCAAAGATGGCAGCCAACTCTTTGGCTGTGGAGGAAGAGGAGGAGGAGATAAGCTTCTCATTACAGCCCATGAGAAGCGAGGGGGGAGGGGTTAACCGGTCGGTGAGCTCTGGGCTGAAGGCATTACAGTCGACAGCGTTCAAATCTGCCGTGAATGTTATCTCCGCTGCGGTATTACACGGCCCACTAACTAGCTGCCTGATTGGCTGGCTTCCCTTTGCTCCAAATTAAATCCAAACCTCGGCCAAAGGGAAAAAAGGCAAATCTGGACTCTCCATCTGCAGAGGTTTTAATCCTCAGGAGGACGAGGATGAGGCTTAAACTATGACTTTCCCAACTGTTGAACACAGAACATTTGGATTCAGAACTGGAATCACAAACTGGTTTATCTGCCAAGATTTTTGTTTTCATAGCAAGTTTTAAGGGTTTTTTCCATCAAGCCAATAAACACATATTTGTTCACCAGGCTGTAGAAATCAGCGGTGCTTTGCACGTCACTGCGAGGCTAAAAACATCCAACTTTCAGCTATTTTTGGCCACAGCCGAGGACTGAGTGAGAAAAAGGAAACCAGGCTGGAACTAAAAAGACTTTCACTGATGAAGCTCTGTGGAAGGGGAGCAAACACAAAATGAGGAAGAATAATTTGCTGGAGTCTGTGTCACAGTTAAATGACTGAATCTCTCTGTGGAGACGCATTTATAGCTCAGTTCACTTCCTTCTAAACACATTAGTTGCTGCAGATTATTAAGACAAAAGGAAAGTTTAGTAAAGTCTGCGTCTGTCCAACACGCGAGGGCTGATGTGTAATTTGGACACAACAGGAATCATGGCAGCGTTAAACTAAACGCTTTGTTAGTGTTTCTCCCATCCTGCTGAACACACTGATTAATCACTCAGTGAATCTGCATTCAGGTGTTCAGGGAGATGAGCTGAGATCAGAGGTGTGTGCTGTCACTGAGGGTGGTGCGAACCACGTCGCAGGAACACAGCGAGGCATGAGATCAGAATAATTCCTATTCAAATGCAGTCATTTCAGGACGTTTGACACTCTGCAACAACAACACCTGCAAACATCTGCTGCCTAAGATTTAGCTGTAAATATCCTGAATAAGCATGAAGTTAACACGACGACAACATCAAGGACGCAAGTTTCCCTGTCTCAGAGCTCTGTACAACACCGTGTCCTAAAACATCTGGGACAATACTGTGACTTTTTCTGCTAGGTGTGCTAGCCCTGTGTGCAGAAACAGCTGTGGAGCACCATTGTTGGAGGCTACTTTCTGACTTCGGGCAGGACGGACGATGCCGAGCTGTAAAACCTGACCTGTACCTGTTCAAACCGAGCTTTGCTTTTGTGCTCTAACGTCTCTTTTTAATGAACTCTTGTGCTCCTCCCACAGACCTGATGCTGCTAACAGCGACAGCTTCATGTCATGAACTAAAACGCTTCATTGAAGATGAGATGAAAATGTGTCTCTCACCTGTGTGAAGAACGGCTCGTAGATCTCCACCCCAGAGTCTGAGCCCTGCGACAGCACCTCCCTGCCTCTCCTCCAGGTGTAGTGGACAGGAGGGTTGGAGTTTGCTACGCAGCGCAGGAAGACTGTCCGCTCAAAGTAGAACTGCTCCTTTGCTTCACCCACACTCTGATGTATCGTTATCACTGGGTCATCCAGGTCTGAGAGAGGTGGAGGAATCAGAGGGAGAGGGGGACGAATCATAGGGAGAGGTGGAGGAGAGGGGGAGGAATCAGAGGGAGAGGGGGAGGAATCATAGTGAGAGGAGGAGGAATCAGAGGGAGAGGAGGAGGAGAGGGGGAGGAATCATAGTGAGAGGGGGAGGAGAGGGGGAGGAATCATAGTGAGAGTAGGAGGGGTGGAGGAATCATAGGGAGAGGAGAAGGAGGGGTGGAGGAATCATAGGGAGAGGGGGAGGAATCATAGTGAGAGGAGGAGGAATCAGAGGGAGAGGAGGAGGAGGGGTGGAGGAATCATAGTGAGAGGAGGAGGGGTGGAGGAATCATAGGGAGAGGAGAAGGAGGGGTGGAGGAACCATAGGGAGAGGGGGAGGAATCATAGTGAGAGGAGGAGGAATCAGAGGGAGAGGAGGAGGAGGGGTGGAGGAATCAGAGGGAGAGGGGGAGGAATCATAGAGAGAAGGAGGAGGGGTGGAGGAATCATAGGGAGGGGAGAAGGAGGGGTGGAGGAATCATAGGGAGAGGGGGAGGAATCAGAGGGAGAGGAGGAGGAGGGGTGGAGGAATCAGAGGGAGAGGAGAAGGAGGGGTGGAGGAATCATAGGGAGAGGGGGAGGAATCAGAGGGAGAGGGGGAGGAGGGGTGGAGGAATCAGAGGGAGAGGTGGAGGAGGGGTCAAGGAATCAGAGGGAGAGGAGGAGGAGGGGTGGAGGAATCATAGGGAGAGGGGGAGGAATCATAGGGAGAGGGGGAGGAATCAGAGGGAGAAGAGGAGGAGGGGTGGAGGAATCATAGGGAGAGGAGGAGGGGTGGAGGAATCATAGAGAGAGGTGGAGGAATCATAGGGAGAGGAGGAGGGGTGGAGGAATCATAGGGAGAGGTGGAGGAATCATAGGGAGAGGGGGAGGAATCAGAGGGAGAGGTGGAGGAATCATAGGGAGAGGGGGAGGAATCAGAGGGAGAGGGGGAGGAATCAGAGGGAGAGGAGGAGGAGGGGTGGAGGAATTATAGGGAGAGGGGAGGAATCAGAGGGAGAGGGGGAGGAATCAGAGGGAGAGGAGGAGGAGGGGTGGAGGAATTATAGGGAGAGGGGGAGGAATCAGAGGGAGAGGGGGAGGAATCAGAGGGAGAGGAGGAGGAGGGGTGGAGGAATCATAGGGAGAGGTGGAGGAGAGGGGGAGGAATCATAGGGAGAGGAGAAGGAGGGGTGGAGGAATCATGGGGAGAGGTGGAGGAGAGGGGGAGGAATCATAGGGAGAGGTGGAGGAGGGGGAGGAGTCATAGGGAGAGGAGAAGGAGGGGTGGAGGAATCATGGGGAGAGGTGGAGGAGAGGGGGAGGAATCATAGGGAGAGGTGGAGGAGGGGGGAGGAGTCATAGGGAGAGGAGGAGGAGGGGGAGGGGTCATAGGGACAGGAGGAGGAGGGGTGGAGGAATCAGAGGGAGAGGAGAAGGAGGGGTGGAGGAATCATAGGGAGAGGGGGAGGAATCATAGGGAGAGGGGGAGGAGGGGTGGAGGAATCAGAGGGAGAGGTGGAGGAGGGGTGGAGGAATCAGAGGGAGAGGAGGAGGAGGGGTGGAGGAATCATAGGGAGAGGTGGAGGAGAGGGGGAGGAATCATAGGGAGAGGAAGAGGGGTGGAGGAATCATAGGGAGAGGGGGAGGAATCATAGGGAGAGGGGGAGGAGGGGTGGAGGAATCAGAGGGAGAGGAGGAGGAGGGGTGGAGGAATCATAGGGAGAGGTGGAGGAGAGGGGGAGGAATCATAGGGAGAGGAGGAGGGGTGGAGGAATCATAGGGAGAGGTGGAGGAATCATAGGGAGAGGGGGAGGAATCAGAGGGAGAGGAGGAGGAGGGGTGGAGGAATCAGAGGGAGAGGTGGAGGAATCATAGGGAGAGGGGGAGGAATCAGAGGGAGAGGAGGAGGAGGGGTGGAGGAATCAGAGGGAGAGGTGGAGGAATCATAGGGAGAGGGGGAGGAATCAGAGGGAGAGGAGGAGGAGGGGTGGAGGAATCAGAGGGAGAGGAGGAGGAGGGGTGGAGGAATCATAGGGAGAGGGGGAGGAATCATAGGGAGAGGAGAAGGAGGGGTGGAGGAATCATAGGGAGGGGTGGAGGAGAGGGGGAGGAATCATAGGGAGAGGATGAGGAGGGGTGGAGGAATCATAGGGAGAGGGGGAGGAATCATAGGGAGAGGGGGAGGAGTCATAGGGAGAGGAGAAGGAGGGGGAGGAGTCATATGTTATTATGATTATTAGAATGTTAAAGAAGAAGATTACAATGGAAACATCCAGCAGCCGGGTGGGTGGAGTTATCTCTCTGATGAAGCAGCTGCTCTGCACACTGAGCGGCTCACTGACAGCATCTGCAGCTCAGTGATGGTGGACACGTCTAATCTCCTCGTGTTCTCCGCACCAGGAGAAGCTTCCAGCCTCAGCAGGCGTCAGCTCGCTGTCCCTTTAAGCAACTCAAACAGAGTGCAGTGGGCACCTGAGTGCAGCATGAGCCATCAGAGCCAGAAGGCCACTTCACTTCAGCCCTTTACTGCACACTGGATGTGTTTACTTAGTGGATATATGCAGCCCTGCACAGGCAGTTTGTTTCCTCCTGTGGAGTCTGAATTTACACCTCCTTCTATTTTCCAAACAGCGGGTCAGTTTTCCTGTGGTTTGGGTAATTACTGCAGAGCCCAGGGCTTTTAAAGTGTGTGGAAACACAGCGAGCTCCCCGATCAGCTGACTGCAGCTGGCCAATTGTGATCCACGGTCATAATGAGTGTGGTTATGAAGTTGCCACGGGCAGAAGGGCTAATGGTTACTAATCCACTTCACACAGAGCAACGTCCAACTCTAAAAAGCAGCCAGTGCAGTTACTCACAGGCCCAAACAATCTGCTGCCACAACATGCTACTCCCACAGCTCAGCCTGCGCAGTGAGGCTGTGCTGGCTGCAGGGTAAGGCGCAGTGAAGGAAACCATTCATCTCTTGCTGCAGTTACCTTTGTGTAAAAGCTTCTGTGCCTCACAGGCAGCACTCAGCTGCGATGCGTCGAGGTACCTCCCTGCAATCCCAGGAAGCTACATGCTCCAGGACATTATGGCTTTTATACAACAAGTATGTTTGTTTCCTTCTTTTTGTTTTGGAGGAAACATTACATGCAACAGCAATGACACCACGATGAAGAGGAAACCTGTTCTGTGAGACACCGTCAGCCTGCTCGCTGTCGCTGAGGGGAGAAACGCCTCCGCTTCGTATGGCACGATTAGCAACAGAAAGCACCAACACAGGTGATGCAGACACATGTAGGTCAGGACTTTGACACCATCAGCAGGAAGATACCGACTAACGCAGACGTTTAATCCTCACGCTGCTCGTACCTGTTGCTCGTGAAGCACTATTATCACTGACCCGTCAGTCACTTGGGTCATCATCACGCACAGACTCACAGCAGCCTTCTCACAGAAACATTTGCACCCATTTCGTCAGCTGAATTCACAAAACGATGAAACAGATAAATGAAAGCACGCTTGCACAAAAGCAGACAACAGCTCGACACCATGTCAGCGAGCACTGCCGAGAATGTTGGATTTAGGTGGTTAAAGTATTTGACCCTGATTACCGACTCCGTTCCCACAGCACAGAGATGGTTGTGTCATACGGAGACAGCACTGCGCCTCTCGTCCAATCGTGGCAACAGCTCCATTTTTTAGCATGACATTAATCCCAAACAAATCAACACTGGATGCCTGCATTAAACACTGCAGTGAAAACAGCCGCGGCAGCGTTGCAGAAGCAACTTCACTCGTCTGTGAACAGTTTGCTGTGACAGATGTGGAAACTTTAAAGGTCGGTCAGACTGATATTTGAAATTCTTTTTGGACAACACGGATGCTATGTCACCTGGACCAATGAGGACAAGGACCGTCCAGCTTCTACTCAGGAATAAAATCCTCTATCTTTGGGGGGGTGTTAGGGCTTACAGAGCTGGGCCTGATCTAGATCAGATCTACATGTCATCATCTAGATCACAAAGAATACCTGGAGCTACTGTGATGCTATATCAGGAAGGACTGAGGCAGGTCTCTCCCTCAGTTTCCAGATGTTTGCGGACCGTTGCTTATAAGGTCCTATTCCAACTTTCTCAGGTGTGTTGTGTCTCTGTGTCCTGTTTGAATAAAATGTGGCTTCATGAGATTTGTAAATGAGTTTTTACTCATGATCACGGCACCATCCCACCATCACAAAACAAGACAGGAGGTGAAAACCAAAGGAGCCGCATAAAGTGGCCAACACAGAGCACCCTGAGTGCATCCAACAGGCAAAGTCTGCACTAGCCGTGTAACGCTGTGACAGCATGTGCTTCCGGCGGGCGACATCCTACCCTAAAGCTGAGCCCATCCACACCTGCGGTTAGTCAGAACTCACTGGCTGCTGCTAATTACCCTCCATACTGTGTCAGCCTGCCTAACGGTGTGATCGGGCATGTGTCAGCGCTGGATGGCTGAGTGCTACTCGGCAGTACAGTCGTGAAACGTGTGTTGTTGTGCTCTCTTTGGGATTGCCCAGTGATCGTCTTTGTGCACTGGGAATCAGGAATGATAGCAGGTCACGGGAGCCGCACCACGGGCCGAGGATTTCCACTATCTAAACGCATGTCTGTTCCAGAATGTCACGGCTGGTGTGAATCAGGGTTCTTACAGTAGACGTCGACTCGTATGGAGCGGATGGCGGGGGATCCCAATCCATTCTCAGCCTTGCAGTAGTAACGCCCCCCCTGGTGGCGGTTGATGTTTTGGATCCTCAGAGTTTCGTTGTGCAGCGAGGACTCGCGGTCTGACGCTCCACCAGCAGTTTTAGTCCAACGGATCTGCACAGAGTACACATACCTGACATTATTTACCTTTTAAATGACAAAACACAGGTTACACATTCATGTTATTCTCCATCAGGGAAATATTTATTCATTTAGAGGACAAAGAGCCAAAACTGAAACACGACCATCAACTATGGAACAGAAGATCACGGGTCGGGCAAAGGATGTTGATCGATACACCAGAAGCCTTTAAGAAAACTCAAACAGTTAGAAATAAATAAAGCAATATCCCAGTGTACTCTATAATGTTGTTTCAAGACTTCAGTGTAATGCAAACAGCAACAGCTGCTCAACATCTGTGCAGGATTTGTTCCCGTGGTCTTGGCTCTTCCAAACTAATTAGATAAATGTTGCTGTTTTTCCTGGCATCAGCCGACAAAGACGGGCGGAGCAAGAGTTCAACTGTCCTTACATCCTCTGATCTGAGGTCAGTTCAATGTAATCGATTATTGTGTGTGTGTGTGTGTGTGTGTGTGTGTGTGTGTGTGTGTGTGTGTGTGTCTGTGTGTGTGTGTGTGTGTGTGTCTGTGTCTGTGTGTGTCTGTGTGTGTCTGTGTGTGTGTGTGTGTGTGTGTGTGTCTGTGTCTGTGTGTGTGTGTGTGTGTGTGTGTGTGTCGTTCAGCCTCTGCAGGATTTCTTTCGGTCCGTACTACGTGCTCTGTGCGTTCTTCTCCTCCTCCATCATGCTTTTCTCTCCATCCATCCGTCTCCCAGTGACGACTGGTGAGCTCTCCAGAGGAAAGCTAGAACATCTCTGTTGCCCGTGCTGCAGAGGTTCATCATTCCCACCACGTGATACTGGGACACTGCTTTCCATAACTGCGGCTTCAGATCGGTGCTGCGAGGCATTCTGCAGTAAAGCGAACTAACCGACATCAGGACCTGAGGCATCGTCACACTTTTTCAGCAACTTAAATGTTTAAGAAAATCACTAAATTAAGGTCCTGAGCGAGCTGTGGGCTCTCCGTGATGCAAGCATGTGTTCTTCACTCACAGTGTGTTCATACACCATTCTGCATTTAATCATTAGCTATAATTAATACAAGGACGTTTGGGTAACAATGTCTCTCTTGAGGCCACTAAATGAATCAAACCGAACTGAACCAAGAGCAGAATCAGCATCATGTTTATCTCCCCAGAAGCTGGTTTTACATGTTAATCACTTTCTGTTCCTGTCAGGATTATTGTCAGGCACCTGGACTCCCCTCAGCACTATTCTACTTCCCACAAAGTCCTCTGATGTGTGTGCAGGTTATGAATAAAAGCAACAAAAGAGAGATGGTGCATAGTTTCTCTCACAATGTTTGTCTCAAGTCTTTCTTCCATCCTGAGTGAGTCACACAGCTGCCACTCCATGTTGTTCCTCCCTCCTTTGTGAGCAGACCAAACTGAACCTGCACATGTTCTTGTTGCATTTCCTCCAAAACGGACTTTCTCTTCACTTTCACTCTTCATTTTCAGTTGCATCAGGATGATGTCAGGAAGCAGCCCGTCCCGATGTGAAGGATCCACAAGGTGCACCTGAGTTGCATCACATAGTCCCTTGTTTTTCATAAGTGTGTTTAGCTTCGATCAGATGGACTCACAAAGATTGTTGTGGAGTTGTCTAGTGTAGACGGGTGGCATGGCTGAGGCTGAAAGCTCAGAGTTCTGGAGTATATCACAGAGACGAGTGTAACGGTGTGTTCACACCGAACGCGATGGACGCGAATAGAGCGTCAGGTTTACATGTAAAGTCAATGGAAAGGCGCGATGACGCGCGATTGCGGGTCCCGCGAAAATTCGGAAGCAGATTTGCGTCGCGAAAACGCCAAAACGCGTGAAACGCGCGTCAGTGTAGCGCGTCTGGCGCGTTTGACTCGCGAATAAAACCACGCGCGTGAGTTTTTGTGTTGCATTTTGTGCATACGCGCGTTTCGCGTCTACCGCTCGAGTTGGAAAAATCTGAACTCCAGCGTCAAATCGCGCCGCGACAACCAATCAGGAGCCTGGTGACGTGGCTGTTACCTAGGTCAAAGGGGCAGATCCAGCCAAAGCCTTTCATACTTCAATGGAGGGGAAGGCTAATCAATGCGGTAGCAAACAACTCGGAGCTGTACAACACCAGCTGCTTTCAGTACCGAGACAGGAATATAAAGGACCGAGCTTGGAGGAAGATATGTGAAGAGATCGGGCAACCTGGTAAGTTCATTCATTTCTCTTTTGAAAGTTTTCACTGACCCGGGGAAGCCGCACAAAAGCTAGCAAGCCACCGCTATTTTCCCACTGACGTACAAATACCGTTCTGCTTTTATGCATGTTGTCATTTAGGAATATATTTTATTGTTTATTAATAAACAGCACACAGTGGTCCCGCTGTTCATCTGTCACTGCTTTGCTTTTTCGCTGATTTTTTATTGCACAGTACAGCATTGCATTCTGCAGCCTGATTGACAAATCTCCTGCGCTTGCCAAATTTATCACGTTTGGTTTTGATAACCATCGCGTCCAATAGAAAAAACAGCACAAAAACACCCATAACTATGAGCCTCATTCGGAAATAGACACCTGCACCGTGAGGGAAAAAGGCGCACGAAAGTGGCAGGCAGATGAAGACAAACCGCGGCATAATAATACTTTTACGTTTTGCAATCTACAAAGGTTTGCACTTTGAGAATCAATTGTGAGAACTGTGACCAGGGGCTAGTTATTCTGAGAACCCCTGCAATAAATGAGGGACCACTGTATACTCTACGATTATTATATCCAACCTGTTAACATTTAATACTGTATTGATAGAACCAACTGATTCTGAAGCAGAGCATCCCCGGTCCCTGAGCTCCTGCTGCTGCACCCACAGGTATGTACAGCAAGCACTGATACCTTTTTAGTCGGTGGGATTGCCTTGTGATCACCTTTACTAAATATCTACAACCAATCTGATTATATCCTGTTATTGTTTTTGTTTTTTTCAATGTTGAAATTAAAATCTAGTAGCAGCCTTCTCATTTCTTTGTGATTTGTGCTGTTTTACAGGCCCACAGAGGAGGACGGCTCCGAGGCAGATGAGGGACGGGTCCCAGGACGGTCCATCGGCGCTGGAGCTGGCCATCCTGGAGTCCCTGAAGAGGCCACACCAGTCTCCAATGGAGCATTTCCTCCTCAGCCTTGTTCCTGCTCTGGAGAGCAGCTGGTCCTTTTTATTCCTGTCTCTCTGTAAATTCTTATATTTTATATATTTATGTTTAATGTTTTTCTGTTTGAGACTTTTAATATTATTTCAAATAAATGTTTATAATGACTAATGTCTCAGTTCTACTACACAGCAAATGTTGGCACACAACTTGACACATGTAGAATTTATTTCATATTATACTAATGACAAAATATACTGATACAGTGGGATGCAGAAGTTTGGGCAACCTTGTTAATAGACATCATTTTCCTGTATAAATCGTTGGTTGTTACAATAAAAAATGTCAGTTAAATATATCATATAGGAGACACACACAGTGATATTTGAGAAGTGAAAAGAAGTTTACTGGATTTACAGAAAGTGTGCAATAATTGTTTAAACAAAATCAAGCAGGTGCATCAATTTGGGCACCACAAAAAAGAAATGAAATGAATATTTAGTGTATATCAATGTGTGTGTCTCCTATATGATATATGGGGTGCCTTTGTCTGGACATGCTTCCCATCCAGAGCTGCACAGCACAGAGGAAAGTTCCAGCGCTCCTGGAATCCCTCTGTGATGGACCGCCAGTCTCCAGTTGAAGGCACAGCCATGAAGTCGTCCACTAGACAGTCCCAGATGGACGTCGCTGCCTGGGGGGTGATCTGGCTCACCGTGGACACACCGACTCTGAAACTGAACGCGATGGTCCTGAAGGAGTCCCCGGTGACAAGGAACCTGGACAAAATTGTTCAAAATCAGTATTATGTGTACTGCAGTTACAAAATACATTATTCAAATTCCAAAATACTTTTGTGATGTCAGATTTAAATCACAAAACATGAATCTTACATAAAACATTTTGTAATTATAAGGATAATTACAAAATGTATATTAGGTCATATCTAAAACAGTTGTTTTGTTTTAACTTTAACATATCATAATTTGATTGGTAGCAACTTTCACAACTACAGTGAGCCAATCACTCATAATCCCTAAACATGTCAATCAGGTAGGAATGAAGTGAGACATTAATAGAAATAAAGAGTTGTGTGTTGACATGTAGCCCTTTCCTTGCTTAAATCATTAATATTTTTGAAAAATTAATCTGTGATAAGACAGCTTATCAAGATAGAACCATGTAACTAGAGATGAACCAAACTGTTCACAGTTTTATCTAACTCTGTTTTAATAAAGGCTGTGACCCCTGCTATAGAGTCTGACAGCTGCAGGGATTATATACAAATATTCAACTATCCCAGAATTAAACCAGGTCTAAATAAAAAGGAGTGAGTATCACTACAAGGTTAACTCAGTGGTCCTAATGCTACAGTTTGATATCAGCAAACACCGAGCGCATACATTGATGTGACACCACAGCCATGCTATCATGCAAACACTGATAACAGCATAAATCGAATTAAATCGGGGCTTGATGAGACCTTCTGAGTATCACTAGAAATATTATAAAGAGTCGTCTCTGTACCACAGTTTGCTTTCAGTAAACACCGACAGCATTCACTGTTAGCATAGCACATCCATGTTAGCAGTGTATAACTGGATGGATTAGCATATTAGCACAGATATCAATAAAGGACTACCGTATTAAATAGTTTTACTAACCTCAGGCAGACGGACAGGCGCTCTGCAGGTGGGATTGAGCGTCTGTAGTTGGTGTCTAGGCGGGCGATGCTGGGACCGACGAGGGAAAGCAGGTCCTCAAACTGGCCGACGGTGATAGCGCTGGAATCGGCCGTCATCCAGGCGTAGCTCCTGGAGCAAGTGGTGAAACTCACCAAACTGCTCATGCCTCTGGAGGACCTGATGGACCCAGGTACGG